TGGCAGAGGCCGAAGCAGTAAACGAGAAATCCTATGGAGCCGATAATATGCTTCCGCCTGGACCACCGCCAAAACCCCAACCGATGACCCCATCTGAACCTCCACAACTCAACGTCCGCCCTGTCACTCAGTTTGCACCAGATCTGACGACCTCTGTGGCCGCTCTCGCTGCTGGCGGGGCTGGTGCTGGTGCTGGTGCTACTTTGGGAGTCGCTGCCGCTGGATCGCGTAACTTGACCGGCAATGCCTCGCCGCCCCATACGCCACAGTCGAGTGTTAGTAGGACAGATCCGTTCGGCGATCCAGTGAATCCCTTTGGCAATCAGGCAGAAGCTCCTTCCCCAGTTGCAGCGACAGGCCCGCCGAGGGGCCCGCCGAGTCCCTCGGCGGTCCCTCTTCCTCAGTCTCCCGTGTCACCCACTGTAACGGCACCGAGCGATTCTGGCGTAGAATCTGCTCTTGGAGCTGCTGCTACCGGAGCTGCGGTGGCTGGTGGTATTGCTGCCGCTGCCGCGGCCAAATCCTCCGACAAAGACCTACCTGGCCGCCCAGAAAGTTCATCGTCCCAAGCATCATCGGTTCCCGAAGGCTCGGCTCAAAGTCCAGTAAGCGCCGTTAGCGCTGATGCATCGATCGCCTCTGCTGCCGCGGTTGCTGCTGTTCCCGCCTTCGGACCCGGCGGTGCTGCAAGCCCTCCTCCCGGACCAAGCAACGTTCATCGCGTGCAATTGGATTTCAAGCCTTCAATGGACGATGAGTTGGAGCTGCACGCCGGTCAGCTCGTTCGACTTCTGCACGAGTATGACGACGGTTGGGCTCTCTGCGTCAGACTCGATCGCTCGCAGCAAGGAGTCGTTCCCCGGTCTTGTCTTTCGTCCCGTCCCGTGAAGCCTCGAGGCGGTCCGCCCCCAGGAGCTGGTCCAGGCCCTGGCCCTCGTGGGCCGCCACGACCGCCAATGATGGGACCCAACGGCCCTCATGGACCTCCCCCTCCTGGACCTCCGGGACCCATGGGACCACCACGTCCTGGCTTCTACCCTCATGATCCCCGCCCACGGTCACCATCGGCCCCGCGCCCCATGTCCCCAGCTCAACACCCGTATGGCGGACCTCCTCCCCCACGCCCGTATCCCCAGCACCCAATGTCTCCTGCACAGTTTCCTCCCGCTCCGCGGTCGTTCTCTCCAGGTCCCGGTGGCCGGCCGATGCCGCCAAGGTCCATGAGTCCTGGACCTTACGGACCTCCAGGATTGCAGAGGCCGGAGATGCCAGCGAGCCAGCGGAAACGTAGCAACAGTGCAGGGGGTCCAGTTGGGCCTATTCCTCGTTCAACAGGATCACCAGGACCAAGCCCCTTGGCCGGGCCAATGATGCCACCTCCCTCCGGTGCACTTCCAGCAATTCCCACTCCGCCACCGCCGCAAGCACCAGTTCGAGATGATCACGCGTGAAGTCAATAGGCTTATGAATGTCCAAATGTGAACGAAAGCGACCTGCAAATGCAATTGATTGATATGAGGGGGACAGTTGATTGTTATTGCCGCTGGACGGAACGAGCCTGGTATGAGTATCACCTGCGTCTGGGGCCAATGAGCCCCGCTGTCAACCTGTTTTCAAATTCTCTACTTTTCCTTCATACTTAGTTTCTTTCTATCCCCCTCTTATACGTTTTCTTCTACGATGCCGGCAACTGTCTCCCCTCCAAGCAAGACGCCATCTTGCTTGGGAAGACTGTGCCCATGTCTTGTTCAACGGGAATACCCACTTCTTTCAGTTTAACTCTTTTTTTTATTTATTCCCCCTGTCTTGAGAAAGGATGTTGATCGTGAGGTTCATACTTGTGCTCTATCTCTACCCCTATACAGTGCGTTTATTGTGTATCAGCACAGTTCCAGTTGCTCTTGTCTTCCGTGCGCATTTACATCGGAGAATCAAAGGAGGAAACGTGGACCGGACCTGGCTTCCTAGCAATAATCCTGTACTTTCTCTGATTGCTCATGTATAGTTTGGTGGTCGTTCATGTAGATAGTTAGTGAATACAGCAAAATCAGAACATTTTCAATAAGGGCCGTCGCCGACGTAAAATTTGAACCCTTTCTTGTTCTTCTGCAAACGATAGTATGTCTCTATATGTCTATCTAGAGATGTGGAACACTCACACTAGCCAGAAGCAGATTGACAATACTGATGATTCCCTCTCCCAGAATCAACCCTGAAGCCAGCACCACCACGGACGAAGAGGCCGCGTCCGCTTCTCGGGCGGCCTGTTCGGCTGTTTTTCCGGCCACGGCCGCAGGCACTCTCGATCCTCCTGGTGCCTGGTCTGCTACAGTCTCGCCCGGATCCGATGGGCTGGCGGTGCTCTTGCTCGTGTGCTTCCGCGACCACCACCAGGCAATAACACCGCCGATTGCTCTGGCCAGCGTGAACGAGGGAACGTTGAAGATGCCCACGGCGACGGCGATGCCGCCGGGGACCCACGCTCTCCAGGGAGCGGAGACGTTGCGCCGGCCGCCGTTCGCCAGGGGCGAGGCGCCGTAGATGCGCAGGATGGTGACGCCGACAAAGACGGTGCCTGCGAGTAGCGAGGCCTGCCAGGCCATGGGGGGCAGGCCCTGGCCTGTGACGAGGCGGGCGGTGAAGATCCAGACGTAGGCGGTTGGGGTCTGGAACATGGGGCCGGGCACCTGGTAGACGCTGACGTACATCCTGTAGACGGCGGTGGAGAGGACGGCGCCGACGAGGCTGCCGATCATTTGGCCGTAGAACTGGGCTTTGGGGCTTGCGCCGAGCAGGTGGCCTGTTTTGAGGTCTTGCATCATGTCGCCGGCCTGTAGGGCTCCCGATTCGGAGACGGCGCCGGCGAGGAGGTTGGTGATTAGGGCGGTGCGGCGGGAGAAGTGTGAGGCGGGCGTTGCGAGAGAGAAGAGGAGCTGGGTTAGTTTGCTGATTCCGGAGACGGGGTTCAGGTCTGTCTCGCCTAGTGCCCGGACGCCCATTATGGACAGTAGCACGGCGAGGAGAGTGGCCAGGCTGGAAAGCAAGGGCGACATGACGTCTCCGAAGACAATGTGCATGCAGACTACGTTCAATATCAGAGTCAGGGGAAGCAGGATGGCCACGGTTCGGGTGGATATGAGCTGGGAAGGCGGCGCATCATCTTCCTCGTCGGGTTCGCAGTGTCTTGCCGGAAGTTGGGCGGAATAGGCTGCTGTCGATGACTCTTCAGAAATGGGACTCAGGGCGGAATATCTGACGTATGAATGGCTAGAGCCGGTGTTTGACCATTTCACCAGAATCCATTTTCCGACGCGACTGGAAAAGAATCTGGCCTTGAGATTTGGAGCGTTGGCTATGACGGGCTTCAAAACCAGCCAACCAAGACTGACAAGTGAGTCGGCCAGCATGATGGCTAGAGATACCCATACAATCCAGGCCTTACTTCCATCCTCCCAGCTATCCACGGGCCCAGGGGCCCAGCCACGAGCTTTAGCGAGCGGAGATAGGATGCCCCAGCCGAGTACGGCCCCAAAAAGCATATGCATGCAGGTAGATGGGCCCATGATAATTCCTTGCCCAATGTATGCGGGGGACGGGTTGAGGGTCCATAGCCAATTTTGTGCTAGGGAAAGACCGAGAATGGGCACATCACGGACTTGAGGGACAAAGTAGGAGAATAGCGTCTGTCACAGTTAGTGTCACTCGGGCTCGGTTTCGTATGGCCACTAGCAGGAGATCTCACATAGACACCAGATACCGCAAAAGCACCCACCAGGAGACGCATCTTCGACCTCCAATCTCGTCTGTCCTCCGCTGACTGAGATTCACTAGCATCCTTTTGCAGTAGCGCATTTCCCTCTTCCTCTCCGGTTTCATGCGTCAAGGCAAGCGGTGCACCCTCTCCTTCTCGAAGGACTGCGGTCGAATTGACCTTTTTCTTCGCCTTCTCGTCACTGAACCCACTCCCGTGTAGAACTCTGAGCATGAGCGCCGATGCCGTCCCACTCGGAAACCTCAGTTTCTCTCTGACGATTACCTCCTTTCTCAGCGGGACGGCAAAGACAACCCCGAAGAGGCAAACTCCCAGACTCCAAAGTACCAGTTTCCAGAAATTGAGCTTCAAAGGACCGCCTTCGCCGGTACCGCCGTCGCCAGAAGGCCCATCTTCCCCGTCTCGAACCAGGAATTCCAACGCGGGAATGACACCAACAAACCCGCACCCCAATGGCATAGTTCCCACCGCCCCAGCCACCGTTTGAATAAGGACGTTTTCTATCGCCGTGAACGGATAAGAGAGATACTTGGAGAAGACCTTAAAAACAGAGAAGCCGATAAGTGCTGAAGGCATGGCCATTGTGCTGATCCAGCCGGTCTGCAAGCCGAAGTAGGTGTTGGAGAACGTAATCAAGGCGCCAATGACGAGTCCAACAAAGAGGGAACGGGCAGTGAAACTCTGAGGGGATGTCCGAGACCGTCTCTCCATTTCCAGTTCCGGTTCAAATACATCGTCGCGGTAGCCAGCGCTCCGTTCCTCGTGGGCTCCAGATTCCCTGGAGGTAGCTGAGCCAGCATGCTCGGGGGTGACGGAGCGGTGGCCATGGTTGGTGGCATTAGCCGCCATGGTGATGGATTGATAATTCATCCAGACCGCAAGTCAAGATACATCTCTCAAAGCTGCAATTTTCGTTCCATTCGATAGATTTTGAAGAGAGATCATCCACAAGCTGGCAGTCGAAGGGCTGATTTGTCATACCTCGTGAGCGGAGCACAGAATCGGAGTTAGAGGCGACGCGTGATTTGGCAGATAAGCGATACGATAAGCGATACGATAAGCAATAACTAGTTATCGATAAGCGGCGGTGATGTCAGCGTCTACTTATCTAGCAAAATAAGTTGTGGCATCCTCATTCTGTGTTCAACAATACATGCATCGCTAATTAATAGTATTTATTCGGTAATATGGCTAATTACCATGGAGTATACAGGATACCAGTTGATCATTATGTCACGACATTGCATGGCTGTCCTGCACTCCATCCTTCAATGGCCTGCTGCACCATCTGCGAATAGTTGGCCAAGGTTTTCTTTGATAGCCACGCTAAATGAGGGGTGACAATTAGATTAAGACCCTTTGTCCCGTCGGCAAGTAATGGGGAGTTATCCAATCCAGCAGGCTCTTCACGGAAGACGTCMGTGGCTGCTCCAGCAATCGTACCCTTTCTCAAAGCTTCGACTAGTGCGTCTTCGTCTACAATTCCTCCACGGGAGACGTTGACGATGACAGTATGCGGTGACATATTTTCCAATTCTGGGGTCGATATGAGGTTTCGCGTTGAAGGACTCAACGGCACTGCCACGAAAATGACCGTGCTTTGTCTGATGACAGTATCGAATGGAGTTCGCTCGATGCCCTCGACCGTGCTCAGTGGCAGCGATGCTGCAGGATCTTTCCGCGCTGATATGAACACCTTCATCCCCAGGTTACGTGCGAGCTGAGCGATCCTTTGTCCTGCATTTGTATTGTCAGCCTCCAGAGCAGCAATCGACCGGAACCACACCGGACTCGACCGACTTACCAACTATCCCGTTTCCGACAATACCAACTACTTCATCTTGGCAACTCAAAGGCGGCTGGCCATGTTTATCGAGCACTTGGTACAGGATGGCTCCTTTCCGATGCGCCCATTCGCCCGCTCTCGTCAACATGTGCATATCCAGTAATCGACGCCGCGAGGCGAAGTACAATCCGATTGCGTGCTCGGAAACCGAATCCACATTTGCACCAACAGATCGGCTCACAATGATGCCTCTCTTTCTGCATGCTTCTAGATCAATACAGTCTGTGCCAACTGCGGCAACGGCGATGAGTTTGAGATGCGGTGTCACCTCAGGGGAGAGTGTGTGCGCATCAAAAGGGATGTATGAGAATACGACAACTGAGGCATCATGAATACGCGAGTGGAGTTCCGAGAGCGAAGTTTGCTGATAGACGGTCGTAGTAAAAGTGTGACCAGGCGGGAAGCGAAAGTCGGGAATCGGACAATAATCCGCCTGAAGGAAAACAATGTGGTGGTGTGTTGGAGATGGACTTGCGCTCATCTTCAATTAAATGTGCTATACTCAATACACCCTGAGAAGTCTTGTAGGCAGGTTTGAATCTTAGCTATGTGTAATCTGACAATGATGTGGCATTTCACCTGGCCGCACTAAATATATATAGTGGAGAGGTATCTCCGCACGCCCTACGAGCGACAATTCCAGGTGGGGAGCTGCTAAGCCTTGTACCTCACCACAACTCTACCACCAAGAGCCTCCCTTAAATACTCAAATACTCAAATATGCTCTCTTGGATAGCTTCATCAATACCTGGTTAGGCAACAGGACTCCATACTATTGTAGATATTCGTTAATATGAGTGAGATTCTTCTTGATTCGTGCGTGTTGCCCTGTATCTCGATGGCGAATCAGAACGGTAAAAATATATATACTCCTCTAGCCCTTCTAGATCAGCGTATAACATAACTATCTAATGTCTCTATTCTCTTTTCTCTATGCTTCATTGCGTTTTCCTATTTGCACACATTTTAATTTTCTCTTCGCCATTCGTCTAATCCTTCAACAGACCAAAGCCATGGATTTCATCTATTTGCATTTTAGCTCTCAATCGTGGCTCTGCCAGAAAGCTCCAGGTGATAAGACAAGCATTTTAATGCAAGCACATCACGCTTGCCTATATCTTGAAACACACGCTGTGAGACGCTTTTTCTTTCTTTCTTTCTTTTTTTTTTTTTAATGGATTATAAAGTGCTAACTGACATTCCTAAAGCAGATCCATAACAGTCTTATTCTTACGCATTGCTCTCCACCTTCAAGGTCTTCCGAGGAGACTGAAAGATTTGCTCAAAATAGCCGGTCATTCCATCGACGTCCTCGATGTTTCCAACCCATCCAATGTGCTGGTCGGGTCTAAGAATGACGAGAGCGCCTCGTACCCTGTCAACACCCCAACATTCGTACCCTTTTCCCGTACATTGTTGGTCCCAGAAACATTCGTCATCGCTCCAAATTTTGCCGTAGGCCCATCCTCTGTCCTGGTCGAACAGTCTGAGCATTTCTGGAAAGTCGGAAAAGTCCATATCTCGCACCGGCGCACTATGGATAGTGATCACTTCGACGAGACTGTCGAGTTTTCCGCCTTCGGGCTTATACCGCTGGAGAACTGACTCAGCTGAAGCTAGACGGGTGCTGAAAGTTGAGACGCGCTGCCTCTGATCTTCGCGACGCAGATCTCCCGCCAGGAGCACAATCCGGAAGCGCCCGTCGCTTGTGAAAAGGCGTGTTGTCCACCAAGCCTGGCCGTCTGCCTGGTTACGGATCTTGGTTGGTGCGAATCTTTCTCCAGGGATCAAATTCGCAGCGATGCCCTCGCCTTCCTTGTGAACTAAAGAACTCGGCCCGTAGTAACAGACATATCCGTTGGCAAATGCCATGGATAATTGGATCACATCCATCAGCGTTTCGTTGTCATTGCTAGCGGCTGTGCTTTCTGCAGCGTCACTCTCTTGCTCCTTCACAAACAACGGTTGCAGGCGGCGGTCCAGATCGATCAGCATTTGGGCAGTTCTTTTACGCTCCAGCTCGTAAGTAGCAAGTATAGAAGGACGAGCGATCCCTTTCGCGACGAGTGCCACTTTCCAGCCGATATTGAATCCATCTTGCATACTCATGTTCATGCCCAGACCTGCCTTGGGAGAATGAGTGTGAATCGCGTCTCCGGCGAGATGAATGCGCCCTTTCGTGAAATTTGACGCAAGACGCCGACCGACCTGTAAGAGTCCTCGAGTCACTCTTCTGTCTCAGAATGCAATGTTTGAGTTCAACCTTACCTGATAAACTGTCCACCAGTCGCAGATCTTGAAATCAAAGTCGAAGGGTCTCAGCATTTGCTTGGCCTTTTGCCGAATCATATCAAGAGTAATTGAGGCTCGATCTAGGGATGCCGCAGTGCTGTCAACAGCGTGCAGAGGCAGATAGAGCCGGACAAGCTGCCTTTCCCTCGGGATGATCAAGAGAGTGCCGTGTTCAGTTGCCACGGTGCACACGCGGCGGATATCAGCTAGCAGGAGTCAGCAACCAGCATATATTTACGGGCACAACCGGCCTCACGGAAGTTTGTGATGGGAACCATATCGACAACACCCCTGACGACGAGTCAGTGAAACGCCAGGCAGAACAGATTAACTGCTTCAGTACCATATGTGCTCAGTTGTGGATCCGTCGAAAGGTATGTTCAACTGTTTTCTGGTCCAGCTGTGCGCTCCATCACAGCCAATGAGGTACTTGGCCTTCACTGTCTCGACATTTCCCGGTCTCTCTTTGCTCTTCTTGAGTAGATCATCCCAATCATCAGGCGTGATGTTACTTCGGAGTAGTCCATTTCGTACGCATCCAGAACCACCATAGCTGCAGGAAGGATTCGCCTCTTCCTCGCTGAGGGTTCTCAACGTAACAGTGATAGGATACGCATCGCCATGATTCTCGAGGGTTTCATCGCACTCCAGTGATTCTGCAATGACGCCTCTCTCGACTTCAAGGTCAGAACAGTCTTTGATGGCATCTAAGATGAAACGTTCAATTCTCCCTTGGTTCAGGAGACAGTTGCCAAAGGGCGAGACGTCCACATCGTGAATCGGATGCTGTTCTTGTCTTTTTAGTTGACCATCCTCACCCCGGCCCTGAAAGCCTTGCGTCAGCCAATCTTCGCGACCATCACCCAGGATCCATTGAAAAGAGACTGACTGACCCAGAACGTGAATTCTGCTGCCTCACAGGCTTCGTGAAGGACTCGATGCACAACTCCTATGCTATCAAGCAGCTCAAGCGTCCTGGGCCTCAGTCCATCCGCCTGCCCGGTAAATACCTTGGTGCCACGCTTGTCGATGATTCGAGCATTCACACCGCAGCGTGCCATCCAGTAGGCGGCCATCAGACCAGATGGGCCGGCGCCGATGATGAGCCTGAATGTTGATCAGCAGCATGACTTGCGACGGGGCAGAAAATGGCTTACACATCAGTGTAGGATGTCTCCGTCATGTTGCAGGACCTTCGCTCGACTTTTCGGTAGTGCAACGTCACGCTAGTACTTGATCCAACTCAGAACGATCGGGGAGAGCGCTTCTTGATATATGACTCAATTTACTACAGCCATGGAGCTTCCGCGGAAGCTTGTCCTCTACAAGGAACCCTGAGCTGTCCGTTTCCGCCCGGTAGTTGACCAGGAACTTCGTTGATAACGGAAGCCAATGGTAACGAGAGATGCCTTCCGAGGGAGTACGAGGCATGGCATCTTCAGATATCGCCCGATGACGACTTCTCTACATGTCAACCCATAGTCAGGCTGTAGACCTTGGCCCTGCTGGACCTAATCGCGCATTTTCGTCACAAGTTCGCAGGCATGAGGGTAGACTTGGTGCTCTTCCGTTTTCGAAGCATCCTTGTCGGGGTAAGCCCGCCAAGTCACCTCGGAGACTATCTATACAGCGGGCTTACGGCGCATAGAGAGCACTGACTGTACTCGTATATGCGTTAATAGTCAGTCGTTGAGCTGAACCACGAATCAAAAACAAAGTCGAGCGCCCTGTCCGCGGAGTCCATGTCTGCTCTCGATTGCTAAGCAGACGCCTGTGTCGACCGCCGAATAGACAGACGGCAATAACGTCAAAGAGTTTCAGGGCTCAAGGCAAGAGACGACGCAGCAGTCAATCAACCGATCGATGAGGCTGGTGATACCTGAGCTCATTGGCTGATCTGGCTGGCATATGCCTGTAGACTCAGCTGACGTCAGGATTGAAATCTGGCCCACGGAGATCGTTCTCGTTCGGCAACTCGGTGATGCTCTCAGCATAGAAGGCAGCATAGCAAAACCGGTTCGATTCTGGGTCGATGGGTGCCAAAGCTGCCCACTCCGTCTACTGAAGATCGATTTTTGCATCATGCCAGGAAACTGCCGAAGCCTGGGTCGAGGAATGCGAATGCTCACTCGAAGGAAAGTTGTGGATACTCGTCCAGATGCTCTTTCAGGAAACCCCTATTTGAGGTGGCATGTATGAACAACATCCGTCCCTGACCAAGTTCGGCCGTCCCTAGAGGACGATGTCTCCGCATCGTGATGCTACCGTGCGGACGTATCAAGCAGAAAACAACACAGAGTTTATCAGGGGGCAAAGTGGTCCCTGTCAGATAGCGGGAGTAAGATAGTTCATAGAAAAGTGCAGGTGAAGTGGTGACGCTATCCTGAGTCCAGAGGGCTCTCAGCCAAGCTCCCAGTCTCCGAAAAGACTTTCCAACGCGGAGTACATTTTTGGGCTTTCATCTCGTGTCCCGCGCCCTTGAAGGGGCTAAGGCTTCCAAGAACCAGCAGAGCCAGTGATTGGTTGAGCGCAGGAGTAAATAAACATGAGGCCCCTTGCGGAGCTTCGAACGCGGACATCGGGATACTGGGTTCACTTTCACAATCTAGGGGTTCGCATTCCATCCCTAAGCCTCAAGTGTCAAGTATCCAGCCGACATTGGGCAGACATCACACTCAGTATTTTGATATTTTACTCCGCTCAAGAATGGATGCCTTGTCTGCCAACTCTACGGCACACATATCCTTTCCTGTTTCTTCGAATCTGCATTCCGGGGGAGCAGGCATGTGCCCTAGTCCAAGAAAGATGTTTACCTCAAGGATGAGAGAAGCGATCGGGGCGCTCCTACGCGTTGGATTGTTGCCCTCATACAGTGAACATAAATAGACCGTCTGCGTCCCTGGCGCGCTGGCCTCTTTCGAGTTTCGCGATCCATCCAAGAACCTACCGCAGTCATTCATTAGGACGGACCCCTCTACCTCACGCAAAAGCGTACGACCATTCACTCACTTAGACTTCCGACAAAATGCATTTCTCTCCGGTGAGTCCTCTCCTGCTTTACACTGCCAGCTGGTCTATTGCTGATTGGCCAGCTTGTCACCGTGGCATCTGCCCTTGCGCTGGCGCCTACCGTCGTTGTTGCTAAGACGGCCGCTGCTGCCTTTGTCTCAGTCGGCTCGGTAGACGAATGCCCTAAGGGTGTGGCCCAGGAAGTGAGCGGCATGGGACCCAAGGTTGTTACCACAACCCTCACTTGCGAAAAAGTCAAGATCAGCCATGACATGTCCGTGTCCTTTTACGACTTCGACATTCAGCCCATCAACAAGGAGGCCGATAAGTGCTGCGTCAAGGTCTACGACAACCCGGGTTGCCTGGGCTTCCCTGTTCTGGAACTTCCTGTCGAGGGTCCATGGAAGGACCGGTGCATCCCTGAATACTTATTCGATGACGAAGTGAAGGAAATCTCGTTCAAGCTCGACTGCGACAAACCTGGCAAGGAGGAGCCATACGTCCCTAAGGAAGTCTCTGAACAAGTTTCCGAGTGGGAGGCAGAGCACACTCCTAAGCCGGAGGCTCAAAAAGCTCCCGAGAAGGCAGAGCACGCTCCTAAGCMGGAGGCTCAAAAAGCTCCCGAGAAGGCAGAGCACGCTCCTAAGCMGGAGGCTCAAAAAGCTCCCGAGAAGGCAGAGCACGCTCCTAAGCAGGAGGCTCAAAAAGCTCCCGAGAAGGCAGAGCACGCTCCTAAGCAGGAGGCTCAAAAAGCTCCCGAGAAGGCAGAGCACGCTCCTAAGCAGGAGGCTGAAGAAGCTTCTGAGGAGGAGCAAGCTCCTGAGGCGCCTGCGAGAAAGGCGGGAAACCCTGCTGACAGTCTTGGCCTCGGTGAAATCACAAAAGCGCTCGGTTTTCGGTGAGCGGCGCGCTGGCTTCAAGCTGTGAGATTGGGTTGCATCTTGCATCACGGACGGGAGTGAGTCAGGTCGATGTGAAAGGGAACTTTACATGCACACAGTCTTGTATTTTCATTTTAATAAGCACCTTTTCTTGCCATGACAATGTAATCAACATACTATTCATTTCACTTTGCAGTGTCGCTAGACAAAGCTCGTAGATGGCGATGTCGTCGCCGGTATGAGTCCTCCATTGCTCCGTGCAGGTGATAGTAAATCATTTTTTGATTGCGAGAGCAAGCTCGCACTTCCAAGGACTGGTCCTACTCATAGATCACGCGATTCCTTCGGCGCAGTAGGAACACCCTACGACAGAATCAATCATAACCACTGCACTGAACCAAACGCAGTCTTGATGGCGTCTCTCCGAGAACATAGCACGATAACGATATAGCCCGAAGCTTCTAGCACCTCATGCATTGCCGACTCGACAGGTCGCGTCACCGTCAACAAAAACAACGGAATGGAATGTATGCCATCAAGCCACCAACACCACTGGCGCAGGCCACTATGAGCTTGGCCTGGAATGCGCGATCTGCGGACTGTAGACCTGACCATCAGTCCATCGTACTAGCGTATGCGTGTGCGTGTCGATTCACCAGAGAGTGTGGAAATGAAACAAAGTATGTGCATGCGTTTCAGGCGTCTTGTGTCGTGTCAAGCTTAATGTTTGAGCGTGGCTGATTCCTGCCATCGGGACTTATTTATCATCATCGTTTGACTTTGGCTCGAGTTGCGAAGGGAGAAGGGCATGCACATATAGGGCTTATGTTTTTCAGGTCTAGCAAGTGAGAGATCCCGCCTCAGTGCAAATCTCTCTTATACTGCTGTGCTGGGTATATCGCTATCACCATGCATTTCACAAACGTAAGACACACCTTTGTTATACACGATATAGGTCTAACAGCATTTGCAGTACTTCCTCGTCCATCTCCTATTTCTGACGCCCTCATTTGCCTCCTCAACCCCCACAGCCCGCGTCTGGGCCGAATTCTTTCCCTCGTGTCCCATCAACCGCATCCACCCAGCCTCAGCCCCAGATCACCTGCCCCACGAGGAGTTCATCTCAGCGCTCAACATCTCCCCGGGGAACTGCACGAGCATCTTCGTGCCGCTCTCCTACGGCCGCGAGGTAACACATGTGTCCTTCGACGCGGAAGTCGAAGTCGAAGGCTCCAGACCCGAGAAATGCAGCATTGCCGTGCACGAAGTCCCCGGGTGCGTCGACCAGCCTCTCCTCGAAGAGGAAGTGACGCACGGCTTCGCGTCCAGTGATTGCGTCCCCAGGAATTTCGTCTCGTATAACCAGGTCTGGGTCAAGTTGGATTGCGAAGAGGGAGAGGACGAGGAGGTTCAGTCTACTGTACAACCAGCGCATAGGCATGGGCCCGTGCTTCATGAGCGCCCTCATCTGCATGTTAACAAGTCGATCGAGTTGGCGAACCAGACTGGGCCTTATTCGAATCGGACGGGTTCCAGTACTGCTGCCGGGCCCCTCTCGCTGCGGAGAGCGCTGCGGATACGGTTGTAGGGTCTCCTCAAGATTAACGAAGTGTGGGTTACATATGGTTGAGTCTGGTCTACCTTGCCTGATGATTTTTGACTGAGGAAGGCCAGCAGGGAGAATATGATGGTTATGTATATGATCAAACGTCCCCGTTATGATTTCACGCTTTCAGTAGTCTGGCAATCCATGTAAAAGCCAGTTCGTGCTATACAAGGGATTCAGCTTTGAAGCATGGCCCGCGAAGCAGATAATTTGCGGTCAATAAGTGTATATACATACACCAGACGCCTCCACGCTAAAAAAAAAAGTAAAAAAATTCATAACAACACTGACGAATCAGAATCCGAAGCTGTCGAGCAGCGAGTTGACGTCGGGTTCGTGGAACGTCGTAGGTGGTGGTTGTGTTTTCTGTGATACAGCGGGTGTCTTTGCTTCCTGCGCAAGACCAGCTCTGATCGGCAGGTCTGCCACCACAAGACTGCTTCGCCGTCGAAGCATCTTTCGGTAATCGACGCCGTTTTCCTGCAGCTTGTATGTGACGTCTTTCAAAGTTTTCGGTGGAGGAGGTACGCTCAGGAACTCCCAATGGCGCACAAGATCCAGGGCAAGAAGGTCGCATCCCATGCGGTCATACAGTCGGGCGTTGCGAATGATGAATTCCCATTCCGCTCGGGCTGACACCTGAGAAGCCCCCTTCAGTGTTTGCAGGGTCTTCTCCCGAAGTTGTTTGTACAGAACGACCAAGGCAGGATCGTTGGATAAGAATGACTTCGCTTGTAGTGGAATTGAGCCAGGGCTTAGAGGAGACGAAGGGGTAGAAGGGATCAACGTCTCGACTGGCGACTATACGACCAGTGTCAGTCAACTAGACAAGGAAGAAACAGGCAATACCATCTTACAATCAACGAGCGGACGGCCATGTCGCGACGGCCTAGCATCCAAAAGGCCCACGATGCCATCCATCTATTCCCGTCAGATGCGGCTTCGGGCAAAACCCTCTCTTCCAGGATTTCTCTCAAAACGGGACCATTGTCTCCTTCATACGCACGCGTAATAGCGATCGCAAGCTGCAGATCCCCAACCTGGTTCAAACAGATGTGGGCGGCATCGCGCAGCTGGTCTGCAAGAAGGAAGAAAGCCGCGGCGTACTCTGGAAAAATGTCAGAGAAAGTTTACTCTAATGCGGGGCTTGTGCAGGAAGAGCGTACCAAACCTCCGTTTCCCAAGCAGAGCATAAGCGTTTTTCAGAGCTGCAGTCTTCCATCGAGGTTCTTGAAAGTCATTTGCCAATAACCGTTGAGTGGCACCTTGTTCGCGGTGCCAACTTGCCATCCGCCACAGACCCTGTAGAATATTCTTCTTCTTCAGCGCGATATAGAACAAGGAACAGTCGACAGGGTTCTTTTCTTCCGTCTTGGTATATTCATTGCGCGCGACGAGCTCCAATTGCGCCCGCTATTCTGCGTTAGCTCTGTGTCCTTAACGGATGGAGTCGGGGATTGCTTTGCTTACAATAGCATTAAAGTCTGTCAGCCACATAAAAATACCGCTTTCCCTGGCTGCCGCCCACTGCATCTTGCCGCCGAACTGTCTTGACACAAGGTCAGACAGGATATCTTGGCTGCCGCTATGGAACGCCCAGACAATCTCTCGCCAAGAAACCGTATCCTTATTTGCGACGCCTTGACTTCTTCTCAGCATGTGTTGTCGAAAGAACAAAAGATAGCGAGCAGCATTGCCATCCATTGACCGTCGGTGCTTCTCGACCGTGGCAACGCATTCGATTGTATCAGCTAGGCGGAACTGCTCATGGCTGGAAAGTTGTGGCAATGCGAAGCGAGAGAGATTCTCATTCAGGGCGGCGGCAGCGTTTTCGTCCATCACATTGGAAATTTCACTCATATCCAGGTCGGCGTACGAGGCCTGTAACTGTTTGGAAGACGCTTGCTGCGGAATCTGCTCCATGTCAACTTAAGGCTCGGAAATCACAGTGCACTACTTACATCGTGCTCCACGTAGAAGTCTTCCAGCGGCGTTTCCAAAAAGCCATCAATGTCGTCACCTTCAGTGTAAAATTTCAATTTCCGATGCAGGGTCGTCAGAACAAAATGCACCAGATTGGTCTTGCCGCTGAGGATGCATTGCGCCAGGAACTGTGGGTGAAAGACAGGTAGCGGACCGTTTAGTCGACTAACAACCTCGAACAAGTCAACCGTGGACAGACCGCGAGAAGGTATGCGGAGCTGCGAAACTAAGCGGTCGCTGGCGTCAATCTCGTTGTCGTAAACAAAGAGTTGGTTTCCAGCGCCAATCCCAAGGTGGCCGTTGCTAAGCCAGCAAGAATCACCGATGGGGTGAGGGGTCAGATCCCGGATCCAGATTTCTCTAATCTGCGTCCAGGATGGACGAGCATCAAGATAGTCATAACGCAACTGAGACAGTAATATCACTTTATGCGGAAAGCCTATTGCCAGGACTGACTGCTTGTCTGGCGTAGATGTCCAATCGAGATCGCGAATGACATCCTGTTGGGCGAAATGTTCCTCAAACTCCAGTTGCGCACCGTTTGTATCCCAGATTGTCAAATGAGTGCGATCCTCGTCTACCAGAGCTGCCTTCCTGGTAGAGCTCCCACTGGCGAGGGTGGGATTCTCAATGCCCGTGTCGACCGTCGAGGTCAGCAAAAACTCCACCTGGCTATTCTGCTGGTCGACCTTGGCAGTCCAGGTATGAATAACACCTCGCCTAGTATACGACAGCGCTATATCAGGCGAAAAGAGGTCGAAGAATCCCGATACTGCTTTTTGAGGGCCTGCAGGGTCGACAGGCAAGATGTACGACATGTCTTCGTCGATACCAAGATTGAAGCTACAGAACTTCCGCAGTGAGCACTGTGTAGCTGACAAGACACCGTTGGTCTGAGCTTTGCCAGTGGGTAAACGTATCTCCCACGCTATTCCATTCCTATCGGCCCCTATTGTTGCGATGTAGACAACGTTGCCGCCCTTATCCGCTGTCGGTAACGGAAGGACGCAGAGCGGTTTGCTCGAGAGTTCGAACGATTGAAAGGCGATCTTTCGGGCATGAAACGCGCGGACATCCCAGACAGAGATGCCATAATGGTGAAGATTGACCAGAAAGTCACCACTTTCGATCACGCAGCTACGATGAATGTGCTCGTCCGAGTAGAGCCAACTCTTCCGGACCAAAACCGACCGACCATGTCTCCACCTTTGCTTCCAGATCGTGGCCTTGTTCTCGTTAGTCCGAGAAACAAGCGTGTCTCCAGCTGCGTTTCGAACGATCTTCTTGATCGGATCAGTATGTCCGGTCCAAGACGCTTTCAGGGCGATCCGGTTTTTGCGCGGCGTTGGGTCAAACAGGACATCAACTTGCGAATCAAACCACTCAATTCTGCCATCGAAATGGTGGACAAGAATGGAAAACGAGTCTCCCA